GAGAACAGAGGAGCGAGGCCACCACCAGCCCAGCCTTCCACCCACACCGGGGCCGGTGGCCGAGGTCCCCTTGGGCAGCTGCACTGAGGGCTGGAGGCAGGCACCATCCCTCCAGCCACCATCTCTGCTTTCTGCCATCTCCTGAGCTCAGGACAGCTACTCCCCTTTCCCTCCCCGCCACGAAGCTCTCAGGTGCTCAGGGCATTGCTGACTCTTAAGACTCTAGGGCAGGAATGGATGAATAGGATCATCTCAACCAGCACTGCCCAAACCACAGTCTGCACGGTCAAGGTAAGACGTCCCCAGCTGCTCTGTACAAATAAAAGACGGATGTGGTTGGAAGGGAGCTAAGGAAGTCCCCCAAATCCTCAGGCATGCCAGTAGTCCATAGCTCCAAAAACCTTGGGAATGACCAGGCACCTGTCCTAGCAACTTCTGAACTGAACCTACAGCTGCTGTATGGGTGAGAAAGGCTCCCAGTCTTGACAGACAGACTGCAAGGCGTGAGGAACTCATCCCATCCTCTGCTTCCCACATCAACAGGCAGCAAAACAAGCAGAAGGGAAAACGCCTTTTCATTGACCACATCCATGTAAGCACGGTTTCAGGTGCAGAAGGGAAAGCCTGCAAGCCTTTCTCTAAGATAAGCTCATGCTTTATAACTTCACTCAGCGAACAACTTCTTTGCTGGCTTGTTCCTTCCATCGTGGCTCTGCAGCCTTTAGCCCCTCCTTGCTCCCTCCACACCCTCCCAGCTCACTAGAACCTTCCCTAAAGGGAACCCAGATCAGATCCCCACTGGCATTTCCAAACTCAGCAAAAACCACCTTGGGACAACACAACCAAGGAAGATACAGTAGGGGACGTTCCTACCTGAAGACGATATTGTTGAAGAGAAAGCTGAAGAGGTTCCCTCTCTCGGGGTCGAGGGCCTGGTTCTCCACCCGCGGCAGCCCAAAGCCGATGACCAGGATGTACAGGGTGAGGGTGAAGAGCCTGGTGACCACAAACACGACAGCCCAGACATTAAACCTGCAGGAGAGCAAGCAGAGGTGTCGACAGGAGCAGCCTCCAGCCCTGAGCTGGAAGGTGAGAACGAGCCCCCCGTCACGCCGACGGCTCTCCTGGGCACCAGAGGAGGGAAGCCATGATCAGCTCGCCTGCTTACAGCTTCTCGTTGTTCTCATCCGTGAAGTAGACCAACCGGGCCAGGTGGAAGAAGAATTCAGCTAAGTACTGCAACAGCAAGAGGATCAGCCCCAAGCGGGTTAAGCTAGGAGGCAAGAGAAAGAAAAAAGCATCACTGGGCTGGTCAACCTTGGTCCTTCATATCCAGCAACAGCATCTCCTCTGCCATCCCTGCCCTGCAGCAAGCACCAGCCCAAAGCCGGACCTCTCCAACAGCAGTGGGGGTAGGATTATGACTGGGGAAATCCCTGTCCCTAAAACATCAAAGTGGCCCGAAATGGTAGCAGAGCTGGGATGGGTCCGACAACGCTCTAACCACCAGCATTGCTGCTCTGTGCACACACTCAGAGGAAGGGCAGGAGTTTGCCTGCCCGTGCTGTGCTGGGAGAGCACCCCAGGGTGCTTCCTACAGCCAGGGGAGATGCACCCATCAGCCTGCGTTTTGGGTCCCTGGTCAACATTTGCTTTGCAAGGCCCTGTGAACAGAGACTGCCTGTGCACTTGCGTAACGGCGATGAACTCCTTCAAAATCAGCTCTGTGGGTCTGTGAAAACTGTTTGACTAATGGCCCACCGTCGGGAGATCAACTTAGAATAGAATCATAGAATTGTTTAGGTTGGAAAAGACCTTTAAGATCATCCAGTCCAACCATTAGCCTACATTACCAAGTCCACACTAAACCAATCAAGGGCAGACTAGACTAAACCATGTCCCAAAGTGCCACCTCTACCCGTTTTTTGAACGCTTCCAGGGATGGGGACTCCACCACCTCTCTGGGCAGCCTGTTCCAATGCCTCACTACCCTTTCCGTGAAGAAATTTTTCCTAATGTCCAATCTAAACCTCCCCTGGTGCAGCTTGAGCCCATTTCCTCTCGTCCTATCGCTAACTACTTGGGAGAAGAGACCAACACCCACCTCACTACACCCTCCTTTCAGGTACTTGTAGAGAGCGATAAAGTCTCCCCTCAGCTTCCTCTTCTCCAGACTAAAATTCAACACCATCCGCTTTTTAAACGCTCGCCTTTATTCCCTTTAAGCCCCCCACCCTGCTGAGGCTACCCGGGTGACTTGCGCTGCAAAAAGACCTGCTCAGCCCCACCCATGGCACGGGACGGGACGCCGACGCAGCCGACTCACTTAAGGAGGTACGCGCCGGCGATGTGCACCAGGTAGAGCGCGATGCACCGCAGCTGGCGGGGGATCTCCTCCTGGCAGGGGCAGAAAGCCACGTTAACCCCATGCCCCTCTTTGCCCACCCTCTCCCAAAGCTTGCTCTCCCCCAAAAGCCGGTGGGCAAACCGCCTCCAGCATCCCCAGGGCACATGGAAGCACCCACCCGCCTCTCACCTTGCGAACTTTTTGGAAGTACAGCTCTGGCAGGGCGTGCAGCCAGTACGCCAGCTGGCACAGGGAGAAAAACTTCACCTGGAACCTGAAACGCAGGGAAGAGGCGTGTGAGCCAGCCCGGGGCATGGCAGGACCCCAAGGACCCGGACACCAGGGAAAGCGCCCAGGCGCACAGCACTGGGCATTCCCTCTACTGCTTTGAAGCCAAGAGATTTAGGAGGCATCATTTCTGGGCTGAAGTTATACGTTCAGCTGCGCTAGCCATGGAAAAACTTCACCTGGAACCTGAAACGCAGGGAAGAGGCGTGTGAGCCAGCCCGGGGCATGGCAGGACCCCAAGGACCCGGACACCAGGGAAAGCGCCCAGGCGCACAGCACTGGGCATTCCCTCTACTGCTTTGAAGCCAAGAGATTTAGGAGGCATCATTTCTGGGCTGAAGTTATACGTTCAGCTGCGCTAGCCATGCTCAGTTTATCCAGCCGCTCATGCCACGGTCTCCACGCTCTCAGCAAACCTCACTTTTGCAAAAACCCAAGAAGGGAGGATTATCCCCCACTTCTTTGTTTCTGCTATGAAAAATGAACAGGAAAGCGACTTGCCTAAGGTGACTCAGGCAGTAAGCAGCCAGGATGAGTAACCAAGCCCGCAGCGCCTTCCTCATGGAGGAAACCCTCCGGGAACACCCTCCCCAGGGCCACAAACGAGGTATCCCCCATCCCCTGGGATCTCACTGCAGCGTCCTTGCAGCAGGGCGCATGCAAAGGGTGCTGCACTGTCAGCACCCTGCTGCCAGCCGCAGGAAAAACCATATAGAGGAAGGAAGTGGTCAGCCCGAGAACAAAATGCCCTTGCGAGTGCTTACGGAAGATAAACATGCGGGTAGTTTTCCCACAAACTCCGGGGGTTTGATATGTATCCTTCCTGAAAAAGAGAAGAGATGCAAGCCTTCAGCAAAAGAAACACGCAGAGCATGGTTACAACGAGGCAGGCTAATGCTACAGTGAAACCAGGAACCGGGGATGACACCCACGTCCTTTCAGCCTGCAGTGAGAACCGTGTCCCCTGCACAAGCCCAGACTGAGCGCTCCAAAGCTCAGCCACGTTCACGGGTCTCTAGCATCCCGCTCAAGTTTCATGAGGCCCCCGTGTTTGGGGGTTGAAAGCTGCTTGCTCGGTTGTACAGAGGGTCCCGAGTTCATGACGGGATGTTCTGGGGTTTGGGCAATGCAAGAGGGATGCTCTGGAGGCACGGGGGCAAGATGCCAGGAGCACGGCTACAGGCAACCGTGTGCAAGGTTTGGGGGGGGCTTCTTCCCCACCGGCATTTCCAACCTGAGTATCACTTAAGGAAAAAGAAGTACTTCTGAAGAGAAAGGGGAACAGAAAACACCTACAAATATAATTTAATATGCAGTGCATAGTTTAATTTTCCACCTGCCTGCATTCCCCTATGGCCTCTTGCCTTACGCTTGCAGGGCAGATTACAGGATGGGGCTCCCTTCTCGTCCCACGCTTGCACAGCTCCTGTCACAGGGGTGCTGCACTGGGCTTTGCAAAGAGATGTTGGCATGGAAAATTCATCTTGCCCAGGACCTCTCTGTCACCATTGTCCATGCCCTGTCTGCCCTAAGCCCTTGTTTTTTCGGTTGGGGGAGCCTGGGGAAGGTGCAAGTTCTCCAAAGGCTGACCTGCTCTGCACATGCGGGGCATTTGGGGAGCACACCACGGTACCACGGGTTTGCACAGGAGGCTGCAGCCTTGGAGCTGCTGAGGGATGGGTCTGGCACTGGATGAGGGCAGCGCAAAACCAGTGGTCTCAACTGTTTTGCCAAAGCTTCCCTCCCCACAGCACTATGGGGCAGGAGCAGTGCCAGCAGATCCCCCGAAATCCTAGCCTGGAGGGGGCTGCAGTCCTCTAAGGGGGGGCTGGCAGGACCCTCGGAGCAGTGGGGCAGGGACCTGCCCCTGAGCATCCATCCCCAGCACCGCCGGGGACCACAGCTGAACCCCAACAGCCACCAGTAGCGAAGCACCATCATCACTTCACGCTGCCAAAATAGTTGCATCTCTCCACCCCTGCCTGCTCTTCCCTCCCGCTTCTTCCCAAAAATGAAACATTTCCACTCCCAGTTTTTCTCCCAGTGGTTATGGGTTGAAACATCCCCAATGCAACCCAAGGCGCGGTGTGGTTTCCCTGCTCTCAGCATTCTCCTCACCGCCAGCTTACCAAGAGAGGGATCACAAGGAGAGGGATCACAGAAATCTGCCCGTTCACCCTACATCCCTGTAAGGGCATCCAAAAACCCCAAGGCACTGAACTCAAATAAGGAGGAAAAGAAGGCAGGTCCCGGAGCAGTGGACAGAGATGACAGCGCCAGCCAGGATTTCTAGGGTCCAGCTCCAAAAATATTTCACAGCTCATTTGCTTGTGCCTTGCACGAAGCAGGAGAAGGATTTCCCCAAACTGCCCTCACTCAGTGGCTGGAAAGCCGCACCACGCTTGAAAACTAAATTTGCTGAAATGTGCCCGTCTTGGCCCAGGGGCTGGCTGGAGACTCTGCTGCTGTTGGGGTTTTGTGCTCCAGAAACCCCAAATCCCATCCAGGGAACCCAAAGCCTGGCCAGCCCCGTGCCTTACCGTCACCACGACGTACAAGCACCAAATCATGGAGGTGAGGTGGAAGGCGACCAGCTGTCCCGATTCATTGAACTTGCTGTGTTTGACCTTGGAGAGATGGAGACGCCTGTTGATTTTCTGGGAAGGAGCAGAGGGAGAGAAAAGGAACAAGAAAACATGAGCCACCAGGTTAACAACTCTCCCTCCTCCTCCTCCTCCCTGTCCCAAGCATCCTCCCCAGAGAGGAAAGTTCACCCATCACCACCCCAACCCCCAGACCAGCATCTAACTGCAGCAGGACCATGTCTCCCCATGGTACTTGAGATATTTTGATGACTCAAGACGCCAAAAAGCACTCACGTCCAGGGCATACTCCTGCACCACCGCATGCAGGATGATGGCGATGAAGATGTAGAAGAGGATGGTGACCAGATCCTTCAGCCCATAGTGATACTGGACCAGCTCCCCATCTGCAAAGAGATCAAACGGTGGGTCAAATCCCCAGCGCTTTCCAGCTAAGGGCTTAAGGGTTAGTGGAAGTTCACGGGGGGCTATTCCCAACATGCAGCTTGGATGGAGCCACCAGAAAGGTGGAGGCAGAGAGAGGTCATGACTGCTCCAGCAGCTGCAGGGCTGGAAAAAAGGGCTCTAGCCCGAGTCAGTTCATCGGCAGAAGGTAGAGGGTTTCCCCTTTAGTAGTTACATGCCTCAAGGGAGGTGACACTCAGGACACTTCAAGCTCCTCCTGCCAGAGGTGAGGGGCTGGGGACAGCCCGGCTGTGGAGACGGGAATTTATCAGCCTGGAGGGATGAAGACATGGAGGCAGTGCTGAAGCAGGTGATGGGATCAGGGACACCCCACTGGGAGCATTCAGGCTCGGCATGGGATTTCCACCCCGCAGGTTATCATCCAACACCCAGTCTCTCCCACTCACCCCCGAAAGCTGCTGGAGCAGGGTTCAGCTGCCTAAATGCAGATGCCTTGCGCTATTAAGAGATCCGAAACAGCGGCACGGGGCTGGCGGGTGAGAAATAGGACCCATGGGAGGTCCTGCTCTTTCGGAGCAACAGGAGATCCACCAGCACCCAAAATACCCTGGACGTCTGCATTTAGGCAACTATTTGCAGCCCTGCAGCTTATAAGGAAGAAGCAGAGTCGGAAAAGCTGCTGTCCTCGTGGCACCCTGCACCTCACAACGCAAAGCTCAGCCCACCCCCGGCTGCTGCTCTCCCTTACCCTGATCCTGATCATCCCCTCCTAATACCAATGCTGGGAAGCGACTTCTCTGTCACCAACCCTGTTCCCCTCGAACAAAGCTTCAGCCCAGATTTCTAAGATTCAAGGCCCATGAATAAGGTTTGAATAGGATTTATGAAAACACCTGGCGTAAGGATGCAAAAACACCCGCGCCTTAGGAGCCCCCCAGCTGGGTGCTGCGCAAACTCAACCAAAAGCGTTGCCTGTATCACAGAGCTCATAACCCCAGTGTACAATAAAAGAAATGCAAGACTAAAGAAAATGTGTGCTCTGCTTCCTCTCCTCTCTCTCGGGCATTTCAGAAGCTGCTCTCGCAGGAGCCGTGCATGCACTGAGCACTGGAAACGAGAGAGAGATCTGCCGACTGACAGGCAACAGCATCCTTGTGGCGAGGGATGTGAAACAGCCTTGGAAAAATTCAGGTGAGCAATAACCCTGCCTCCGAGCAAGCTTCCTGCAGCAAGGGCTCTCTCCCCATGGCCTCAGCTAGCTCGTGCCCTATGTAGATACCCCAATACCTGCTCCTGGCGAGATGGTTATGTGCCCCCCCCGAGATTTCTGGTATCAGGAAAGAATAAATCACTTAACACAGCGGCAGCAGAAGTTGTCTGGACTGTGCCACAGGGAAGCACGGACCACAGTTTAATCTGGAAGCTGGATGATTCCTTCAACCATAAGATTTTAAAGGCAGAGCTCCTATCTTCCGCGTGTCTGCCTCATCGTAGTTTCACTAATCCCAACAACCTCGCTCCTCCCTCGGATGATTACTCAAACACTTCTAATTAACTGCACTTTTCTGCCGCCCAGCCAGGCTCTGTGCCCCAGGCATTTGGCTCGTCCTGAGGCCAGGGCTTTACCCAAACCACCTCCTGCTGCCCCCAAGCCGGTGCCCAGATCGCTGCCAGCCCCAGAGGGGCTCTTGGCTAGGGAGGTAGCAGCTAGCAGCCAAAATACAAACAGGGGCAGAGCCTCCAGCTGCCTCCTGGCTGGGAGCTGGGGCACGTCCTCTGCTCCATGGGGCTCGGACCTGCGCCAGCCCGGAGCCTCCTTGAATTACTCTCCATGTGCATCAGGACCATAAGCTGCCCGGAGCAGGGATGCTGGGCACCATGCGCATCTCTGCACCCTCACCTTCTGCCATCCCCAATAAATAAAGCGAGACGGGAATTATCTGCGCAGCCCCTGCTGCTTAGCGAAGAGCTAAATCCCTCCTGCTCCTTGGCAGGGCACAGAGCTACTCTGGGCATGCGATCAGGCAATCTGATCTTGCCTGACCAGGCTTGGAGGAGGATCCTCACCCTGCAGCTCGCACAGAGCGGCCTGACCATGGCAGAAACAGGGTAGAGAGGAAGCCCTGAAACCCCCTGGAAAGCATTTCTCCCCAACCCTGGCAGCACGAGGGCTGGCAGACATGATCAGCATGCTCTGAGCCACTCAAACTTTGCTTTTCTCCCACATATCTTATTTTTAACATCTCCTTTACTACCAGGCAAGGGCCCGAGCAGTGTGCATCAGCAGAGGGTGAGCCCAGGCCAGCTAGCAGCAAGGGTATGGGGCAGACCACGACTCGACCCTCCCCTTGGGGTATCCGCAGCGGCAGCATCTCTTACCTGCTGTAGGCACGCTAACGTTATACTGAGGTAAGATAAACAGGAAGGCAGTCTTGGCTGTAAACTGTCAGAGACACACAGGAAAAAAAAAAAAAAAGCAAATGAGTTGTTAAATCCATTCCTCTGCCACCATTTACTCCCCTTTCTCACCACACTGGGTAAGGCAAATCATCCAGGGAGATGGGCAGGCACCGCCTTCACTCACAAAAGTGCCTTTCAGCAAGGGGATTGCTAGGGAAGAGGTTTGCCAACAGGGACTTGGGAAGGAGGAAGGGGTGGATAAAAGAGAGAGAAACCTGGAAAAGCAATGCAGCTGTAAAAGCCACCACCAGCTCCCCGCTTCCCCTCAAGGATGAGCATCCCTCCAGTAGCACGGGCCATCGCCACGTGCGACCCGCTGCTCAGGGGACATCGGGAGCCCGACCCAGCGGGCCCTCTGTGTTAATTAAAACCATCCCTCATTCCTATCCACTCCGGGCAGCCATGCCAGGAGCTTGGCCTGGGTAGAAACGACAACATCCAGCACCTGAGCAAGCTCAGCGGCTTCAAAGCCCCACAGGCTACGCATGTATTTAGCCCCTGCACCTCTGCGGAGACTCCTCCGGTAACGGCAAGACCGGTGAAGCCGGACCCCTTGAGAGACCACGCAGATGCGCCCAAGGGTCCCACTGGGCAAGGGAAAAGCAGCTTTGGCAAAAGAGCGGAGCCTTGCACCGGCCACGCACAAGGTCCCAGCCACACGTGCAGCATCACCGGCTGGCCCGTGAAGGGGAAAAAAAAGCCTGGGATGCGACATCCGGCCCCCTGCAAACCAGGGCTGTGCCGTTTGCTCTTCATTTATTGCTTTTAATTCAAGGGGATGATCCTCCCCAGCAGCGACGCAGGAGGCTTTGCGGGGACAGGGCAGAGCCAGGCATCCCATCCCAGCGCATCCGCAGATGGGATTCATCTCATCTCATCTCTGAGATTCATGAACCCCTGAGCCAGGTCCACAGCAAAACCCAGGGCACACATATCCGACGCCAACCTCCTTCCACGCCTTCATCCCATCCAACCCCACACCGGCAGCAGGTCACTGGAGATTTTTTTACCTTCCCAGTGGCTCCTCAGCCACCCCTCCAACGCT